AGAGAGAGAGAGAGAGAGAGAGAGAGAGAGAGAGAGGGAGAGATAGGCAGTGTTGGAGAATTCTTCCACCATGCAAATAGCCAGAGGCCTGGTGGGAACCACCTAGCACTATTGGGAGCAGAGACCAAGAGGACGCATTTTCCCTCTACTGCTGTGTCTCTTCAGCCCTGCATCTCTTGTGACTCTCTCTTTCCACATTACTCCCACTTGTGGCTGTCACAGAACCGAGTTAGGGGCACACAGGAGGGGTGGATCCTGCACCTCAGCAGGCCTTACGAAGACTGGCTGGAGGTGCACACATACACCAGCATATGCAAACTGACCAACAGGCACAGAAGTCCCCACCACTTCCACTACTCAAATGCAAACACACCTTCACTTGAGAAAGTAAATCAATACACAGATACTGCCACACATTCAAGAATGTACACAGCAGCACAGATGGACTGATACATGGAAACACATAAGAACACATTCACACTGGCATATAAAATGGGCCCTCGTACATAAAAACATATAAGCATACACAGCCTCTAGCAGGCCCAGACAGAATAAACTAGAGACAAAAGCACACACGATATTGACAACACATGAACCTGAGCACACAAACACACACTCTTGAGCACCATGGAATCTCTTTCACAGTGTCTCTGCAGAGTGTAAGGAGGGCCTAAAGGTATGGAAGTGAGTAGGTTATTGTGGCTGCCCAAACAGGAAGTGTCGGTGCCTGGTAACTCTCTTCTGAGCTCACACTCCTGGATAAAGATGAGAGAGGAGGGGCATGGATGCAGTTACATAACTGGGCAAGAACACAGGCTTAAAAGGTTCAGCTCAGGGCTGCAGAGGGATGGACAGCAGTCAGACCAGGACCATGGAGCTCAGCATCCTCTTGCTCCTCGCTGTCCTCCTAGGCCTCTTGGTTCTCCTGTTCAGGGGCCACCCAAAGGCCCATGGCCTCCTCCCACCAGGCCCACGTCCTCTGCCCTTCCTGGGCAACCTTCTCCAGATGGACAGGAAAGGCCTGCTCAAATCCATCCTGCAGGTGAGACACAGAAGGACAGGGCCCATGGTGGATTGGAAGAGCAAAGTCTCTTTTCTGTCTCAGGGTGGGTGCGGAAGATCAGTGTTTAAAGGAGGTGACCCTGACTTCTGGTGGATAGTGGTCAGATTGAGATAGGTATCTCACCTCGGATGGAACTGTGTCGGGCACTGTCCTTGCAGGGATGAGAGGGCATACAGAACTGTCTGGTGTGAGCCCCAGGTATAGGTCTCATTCTCCTCTGCCCCATCCTGGGTAACTGCCTAGAAGAGAGAGCAACGGGGCAGGTGTACCAGTCAAACAGGCTTTTCCTCTGTGAGCAGGAGAACAAAGACTGGCCTCAGTCAGCTGAAGGAGAAAAAGGAGGAAAGGGGAGAAAATAAATGCAGCAAGGAGTGCTCATTGGGGAGGGTAGATCAGGGTGAAGTAAACAGGACCCAGATGTAATGTGTGTGTGTGGGTGGGCCAGTTCCCATGATTAATACATTCATTATGTATCAGAAAGATAGCAGCAGGGCGGAATGTGGCGCTGCACATTTGTAATCACAGCACTTAGGAAACTGAGGTAGGAGGATCCCCTTGAGTTTGAGGGCAGCCTGAACTAAATAATGAGTCCATGTCTCCAAAATAAAATACTAATAAGAATGGTGAAAAATCTTGGTTTCTTCATTGATAGAATAAAAAATTGCAATAGTAAATGCTAAAACAAAATTCTAATAGTAAATTCTAATAAGAATTCTAATGAGGCGGGGAGACTTAGCTCAGTGGTTCTGCTGCCTGCCTTGAAAGTGCAAGGACCCTCGATACCCTATACAAAAACAACAAAACAAAACAAAATGTAAGTTAAAAAAATTCTAATGAATAACAAATTCATTGACAGAATAATATCAGGCTCTTTCATTACATGGTAAGTATTCAATATGAAATTTTTTTATTATAGTTGAGCAATTTCAGATCATAATAGAAGCATACAAATGCAAAAAAAAAAAAAGAGGAGGAGGTCTTATGAATCTTAAACAAAATCCAGCAATTGCTAGGCTCTCTGCTACTGATTAGCACACATGATTTCAGGTTTCATTGTTTATTAACAACAGTGGGAATGGACCCCTTGGCTTCTTCCCTGAGCTACATCTGCCATCCTTTTCCATTCTGAGATAGGATGTTGGGACATTGCCTAGGCTGGCCTTGAATTTTCAATTCACCTGGTCTCAGCCTTGAGAGTGGCCAGGATTGCAGGCTCTGCTACCACCCCAACTTTTCATCCACTTAACTATTAACAGTTCATCAGCATTGACTGTGGTGGGAGAGGTGGAGCACTGACAACAACATTCAGCTCCTTTATCTCTTCTCCACTTTGTGGAGACCCCACTAGGGAACCCTGGCCTTCTTAGTTCTTTGCTCTCAACAGTTTTTTTTCCTGATTAGACACTTATTTATTGATAATATTGTCTTTTTATTTTTAGTTTTTGGTGACAGTGTTGCTGCTGCAGATGGGATACTTGGTGGTAGTGAGCACAAGAGAAGACAGAAGTTTTTTTAAAAAAATTCATTAACTTTATTGATACGGTTTAGGGATACATTATGAGTGCATTCGTCATTGGGAATTTGTACCTGTACACGATATATCTTAAGATTATTTGATCACCCAGAAAAGATCGATGTAAGAAGTGGGACTTAGACAGACCCTGAAAGACTAGGAGACTGAGGATGTGTGGGGAGAAGAATCCATTCTTGATGTGTGTTGGGGCAAAGGTGAGGAAAGAAGCCCAGGTGAATGGGAGAGCATGGCATGCACAGCAGTGAGGACGCAGGCACTGCATTGTGATAGCAACATGAGGAACTGGCGGAAGTGAAGGGGGGCAGTAAATAATAATGTGGTCCACCTGGGTAGGCAAACTAGAGTCTCATGGAAACTTACTCTGTTTTCTGTTGATATGAGAAAATAATTGAGGCTGGGATTTACAAAGTAAAGATATTTTTTAACTCACTGCTTTAGAGGTTGACAGTTCAATGCCAGGTAGCATTAGCTGTTCAGCCTCTGGTGACAGCTTCCTTAGCTGTGGTGCCTCATGGTTGAAGAGGAGAAAGGGAATCTACAGCATGACAATGTTCCAAGCCTGTGAGGTGACACTGCTTTTTAACAACTTGGTTTCTCAAGAAGTAACTCATTCTGAAAGACCAGCATTCATCTCTTTTCAGGGCTGTCTAATTACCTTCCAATAGACCCTACCTTTCAAAGGCTCAACCTCCTTTCAACATGGCCATGTAGGGAACCAAGGCCCTAACATATAAACCCATGGGGGATATACTCAAGCCATATAAAACCATGCACATGAAACAGGCAAGAAGAGACACCTAACTGCTTCAGATAGAAGTCTGGATCTAAGCTTGGTGATCTTCTGAAACAATCAGCATAGATCTCTCAGGGACATCATTGTGAAGCCTGGATCTTGGCTCAAATAGAGGTGCTGCTGGGCACTTCAGCTTTCTGAGGTCCAGCTCAATTCCAAGCTGCTTGCCTCACCAGTCTGGGGTGTGCAGACCTGTGTCTTAGAATATTCTCTTGATGTTTTAGTTTTTGGCTTAGGAAGCCAAGGCCTGCTCTCCCAGGCAGCTGTGATGTGTGGAAGGTGGCTGTGTGAACGTTTGTCCAACGTGGGTGTTACCAAGATTAGGAATGCAGCACCAGTCAAAAGTCAAAGGTTTGGAAGTTCCCCTTAGAGTTGCCAGTGCGAGTCTGCATTAGAAGACTGAAGAAATTGGAGATAGATTCCAAGGCAATGGCTGAGATTGGAGGCCGCCTGAAACCTGGGCCCTCTTTTCTTCTTTCTCTTTTGGTTTTTCCCATGCTACAAGCCTATTGGTTGATGCAACCATATACAGGGTGGGTCTTCCTCCTTTATTTGTTGGCCTATATGTCAATCATACACTGGTACACCCATAACTATGTTTTATTAATCAGCTAGGCAGTTCCTACTGAAGTCAGTTGACTGATGTACCACAATGAAAGTTAAGTAGGTTGAAATCAAATTGGTCTAGGGCACAAGAACAAAGATAACCTACAGTTCCTAACAGCCCTTCACTGTTGGATTTTACCATCAACTTTCTACAATTTCATAAAAATTCTTTAAAATTTCTAGTCAGAACTGAGACTGATGCTACAATAAAATAAGTTTTTTGAGGTTTAGGGATGGTTCTGGGTCTTTTTCATTTTGGAAGAATATAAATAATTTTGGACCGAGGGTAGTTTTTGACTACCGTTGTTGTGGCAGTGCAGAGCATCTCTGAGCTATAGGCAAGTGCTACAACTATGGCTGCAGACAAGTGCCATGGATTGGAACGCACAGCTGAGCTGTGCAGCTCAGTGTGGCAGCTCTGGGTCAAAACTCCCATTCTTTGAAAACTCAAGAATCTTTTGGTCCTTTGAAGAGCTGAAAAAATCCTTTATCATGTTGGGGAGCCCTGGTGGGCTTAAAGGAGTGTGAGAACTCTATCAGAAATCAAGTGTCCTCTTAGAGGGATCTACAGGATAGGTGAGCATGATGAATGAAGCAGGTGGGCAGAGTTACAGAACATTCCTGAAACACCCGCTGTGTGAGTATGCTCACTGAAGGAGGGGGTAGTGTTACATTCCTGAATCAGGGACAGAGTTATAGAAACTTTTGGAGACAGGGCAGAGCTTAATAGAACATTTCTGAAAGGCCACCCAGTTCAAAGAGTCCCAAACCATTTTGAGACATTGGGCAGGACACCAGCAGTACAAGCTTACATTTCCAAAAATGAAACATTTTGTGCGAAAAACAATGGAAGAAATAAAGGTCCTGTCTCATTGTGTAGCACTTCTCCTTACAAGGATGTAGTGGCCTTCTTTGTGTCTCTTAATTAGTTTTTGTTTGAAATCTTCTCTGTCTGCAAAAAGACAACTATCCCCACTCTTTTCTGGGCTCCTGTCACATGGAGAACTGTTTTCCATCCTTTTACTCTCAGTCTATGAATTTCTTTGTGGAGGAAATGGGTTTCTTGTAAACAGCATGTAATTGGATTTTAGCTCTTAATCCATTATGGTGGCCTATTTCTTTTGATTGGTGATTTGAGGCCATTCAGAGTGATGGTTATAACTGTTATGTATTGACTTTTCATTGTCATCTTATTTTCCTGGCTGTTGGTTCTTTTATTTTTTATTTTTCCCTTTCTCCCTTTAGTTTGTTGCCTTGCTTGGTATATTTTCTCTGTTAGCCCTATGGAGTTGTGGCCTGAATTTTCTTTTTCCAGGATATTGTTTAGAAGTGTTAGAAGTGCCAGTTTGGTGTTCATGAAATTTCTTATGTGTTCTTTGTTTTGGAAGTAACTTATTTCCCCATTAATTTGAAAGATAGCTTTGCAGGATACATCAGTCTAGTTTGAAGGTTGCTGTTTTTAGTGCTTGAAATACCTCACTCCAGGCTCTTCTTGACTTGAGGTTTTGTGTTGAAAAGTCTGCTGTAATTCTGATGGGCTTTACTTTGCATGCGATTTGTTTCTTTTCTCTAACTGCTTCTAGTATTTTATTCTTCTGTTGGGTTTCCAGGATCTTGCTTATTACATGTCTAGGTGTAGATTTTTTTTGATCATGAATAGTTGGAGACCTTATATGCCTCACTTATCTGTATGCCAAATTCTTCCCCTCTGGAAAGTTTTCTTTCATTAATTTTGCATATAGTTTTTTTTAATATCATTTGTTCTTTCTCCTGGTACTGCATGGACTCCTATCAGTCTTATATTATTCTTCTTTATATCATCTAAGTGTTGTTTAAATGAATTCCATGATCCTTTTCTGTTTTTAAGAGATCTCTCTTTTCATGGTCACTGACCACAATCCTGTCTTTTATATCTGAAATTCTATCTTCACATGCGTTTATCTTGCTGTGAATGCTTCCTATAGAGTTTTTAATCTCTGGATATCTGTCTAATTTGTTTCATGGATTCCATCTCTTTCGTATGTTGGCCATTAAAAGTTTCCATTTCTTTCCTATGCTGGGCATTCATAGTTTCCATCATGATTCTGAGCTCATGTATTTTTTTTATCTGTTTCTGTTCTAGAGTCTCTAATTATGTCTTTCATTCTTCTCACCATCTCTGTGGTTATCTGGGAAATTATTTCTGCTTTGAATTTTTCTAGAGCCCCAGTCATGTGTTTTGTTACTTCTTGTGCTATTGTTTCAGGGTGTGCAGATATTTGACTGACAAACTTTTCCACCTCATTTCCCCCAGAGTTTATTTTTGGTGAGGTGGAAGTCTGTGTTTGTGGTTTGTGTAAATGTGTTTTCAATTCTATTTTTTGTTGTTGGTCCTGTCCTTGGTTTAATACCTTGCTTAATACTTCAGTCTTCCTGATATATCTGGTCTTTATATTGTGAGTCTCTAGTAAGTCTGAGGCAATCTCATTTTTGTTATACCAGGGGGGACAACTGATTATATCAATCACAACACCTGAGTCCAAGTGATACAATCAGCAACACAACAGCATCAAGCACAGCTTAGAAATATGACAATTTTTGGCAGTAATTACTCTATCACTTTCAACTGTGTGAATAAATAACACTTGTGGACCATCCCAAAATATGTTTATAGTGAATAAACTCCTCAATGTAGCAACTTTATCCTTCAGGATGGGGATTTAGAAGGAAATGGGAAGGGAGGGATATATAGCATAAAAAAAGGTTAGAAGTGAAGTCAGAGGACACATGAAGATCACACAAACTGTACGAAGCTGTTGAGGAGAAGAATAGAATGAACAAAATATACACAAGAACAGAGCAAACTAACAGCAAGAGGGAGACTAGAGACTGTAATCACTGTCTTTTAAAACTAATTGCTATTGAGAGAAGGAAAAAGAGAATAAAAGGAAAAGAAAGAAAATAAATTTGAATTTGGATAGGAACAGCAACAAAAAGGGATGGTAAGATCAAGGTGGGAGAGAGTGAGCAAGAGAAAGCAAGAGAAAGAAAAGAAGATGAGAAAAAGAAGATGAAAATACGAAAATTTGAGAAAAGACAGATACAATTTTTAAGTGATTAAAGATAAGAAAAAATATTACCTCGAGAATAAAAAATACAAATAGAAAAAGAAGGCCTCCGTCAGGGTATACCTCTCTTGACACAATAGACAGTGTGGGCAGGGGTGTGCAGATCTAAGTTAATTAGTCTCAGCAAGCCAGCTGCTGTTCCCTGAGGTTCAGGCTCATTTCTGTGTGTAAGGCCCGAGTTGAGATCTGTAACACCCTGATGGGTTGAACCCTGCAAAGTTCTACTTCAGGTTTCAGCTATCTTTTAACTGAAGTTAGATCAGGTTCTGAAGTGAGGTTCTGGTTCCTCCAAACTACCAACCATTGTGGTGTGGTGTGCCTTTATCTGAGAGATTTTCTTCACTTTTCTAGTGGGCTTCAATTTTCATCTAGGATCCTCAGAGAGGCCCTGTTTCTGTTGTTCAAGGGGTTGGGGGTGGGGCACACTGCTGTTTTGTGCCTGTACAGCTGGGCTTCTCTGGTGCACTTGGCAGAAAAGGTGGGCTTATCAGAGTTTCACAAGCTCTTGTCAGTCTCTTTTGGTGCACTGGGCTGAATAGGCAGGCCTGCCCGAAGTTCTTGAACTGCTTTTGTGATATTCAGTTGCAAGCTGCTCCTGGTCTTCTCTGGTGCACAGAAGGTTGCAAGCTGCTGCTGGTCTCCTCTGGCATGCTGAACTAAATGGGTAGGCGTTCCAAGCCTTGAAAGCTATTACTGGTCTCCTCTGGTATCCTGGGCCAACGGATGTATAGCATGTCTCTATCACTGTGAATTAAAGATGGCCATGAATTCTGTGCAAAAATAAAATTTCTAGTCAAATGAACAATTTCATATATCAAAATGCAGTTCTTTTGTGATTCTTTTATTATGATTAAAAAACTCTACTTTGGATAAAAAACACTTGTTGTTAAAGTGGTGTTTTATGTAGTCTTTCTATGATGATGACCTGGAAATTTCATTACTTTGAAACTTTATTTTTTAAGCTGGGAGTGGCGATCCACTCCTATAATCTCCACAGTCAGGAAGCTGAGTCAGGAGGATAGCTACAGATTTGAGGCCAGCCTGGACTACATAGTGTGTTTAATTACAGCCTGAACTACATAGAGAGATCCTGTCTCAAAAAGACCAAAACCAAAATCAAAATAAAAAAGCAAACAACAATAAAAATTTCCCAAAACCTAATAAACCAAAAAATAAAATTTTATTTTTTGATGTTTCTTCCCTTTCTTTTGCTTTTCCTTTGTCTTCTGTTTCATCTATTCCTTCACATGTCTTTGATGTGAGAATTTCGTTTTGTAATGCAGGCTGCCTTGATCTTACTTTATAGCCCAGGCTGGACTCAAATTAACAGTGATTCCTGTAGTTCACTCTCACAAGTACTGGGTTACATGTTTTGCACCACCATGCCCAGGATTGCCCGCTCTTCTTTGCAGGAAACATTTCCATTTTCTTGCATGAAGAGCTTGAGGCAAGGTGAGGTACTTTATGGATTGTGCCTTAGATAGTGTTCAGCCCCCCTGCCTCATTGGTGAGGTTTCTTAGATATCCAGATAGGAATCATTCCCCCCTGAGATGTAGTTCTTGATCATGAGACAAAATCAGGTCCCCACTATATTCTTTTGTTGGGAAACAAAGTCTCCCTATGTAGTCCAGGATGGGCTTGAACTCCTAGCAATGTCCAGGCCCTTGTAAACTTGGACCTGAAGGTATAAAAAAGAAAAAAACTAAGTTCTTTGTAAATTACCCACTCTCTGGTATTTTGTGAGGTACTTGAACTTTTTGTGAAAGAATCAGATGTAAACCAAACTTACTTTTGTGTCAGTTTGCTTCCACTCAACATTATGTCTGTGAATTTCATCTAGAGTATTGGTTAGAGCTGTAGTAGGCTTCTTTTCATTGTTGCATAATATGCCATTGTGTAACTTTCAGTATTTATTCCACATGTTGATGATCATTTTACTAAGAAGGCTTATGGGAATATTTTTTTCCCCTTGGTGAATGAGTACACATTTTTGTCTAACCAGTATTTGGTGGTGGAGTCACTGAGTATGCATGTGTTTAGTTTCATTAATACAGCTGACTTGTATATTTGTGGGTTCTCAGCTTTGGATTGAAAATACTTGAAAAAATTATGCTTGTATTGAAAATGTACAGACAATTTTCATGCCATTAATCCCTAAACAATATAGTAGAATAACATCTTATATAGAATTCCTATTATATTTGATAAAAGTAATCTAGAGATGGTTTCAAGCATGTAGGAGGATGGGTTATGTACAAATACTGCCAAGAATTTTGGTATCTGGGGGAGCCCTGAGATCCACTCCTCATAAATTTTGATGGGTGACTATCCTGTCTGGCCATATTTCAAGGGGCTGTACTGAAATGATTTTTCAAATTTCATGATCATTGTAGAGAGCAGTAGCTTTCCTTTGCCCTCTACAAAGAGGGTGACTCAGTGTTGTTCTTCCAGGAAATTATTTATGATTACAATGCAGGTAGAAGTTAGGGCACCAAGGGTTCTTTTGCTTGAGATACCAGGGAGATGTACTGCAACTCAAGGGTACAAGTTAAGATGAGATTAGTGATATTCAACCAACTGTACTGCTTAGGCCCCCAACCACTGGGAAAAAGAGCCTGGTTGAGTCCCAGGTTAAACCTTTAGGTACTGGGAAAAGAATAAAGGAAGCTGAGGAGCAACCAAGGGTCCTGGGGGTGGTAAATAATAACTAATGTGTATTTAAGCACTTTAGTGGTTTAACAACTAGTTAAATGGTTTAACAACAAGCCCTTTAGTGGTTTAAGCACTTTAATCATTTAACAAATAACCACTTTAATCGTATAACCATGGCTAATAGTGACTATGGCATGCGCATGCTTTGCAGCTCCGAGAGAAATATGGAGATGTCTTCACCGTGTACTTGGGTCCAAGGCCCATGGTCATGCTGTGTGGGACAGAGACCATACGGGAGGCCCTGGTGGACCAAGCCGATGCTTTCTCTGGCCGGGGGACAATTGCTGCTGTAGAAGCTGTCTTCCAGGGATATGGTGAGGACCTCAGAGGCACTGGGATGGGACAGGATGGAGGATGGGACATGGAGAAGTTGAGTGTGAGAGGGAAGGAAAATGTTGGGGAGGGATGTGACCTTCTTGAAATTCTCATGCGTCTTTTGTCTCCCCTATAACTATTAGGTGTGGTCATGGCAAGTGGGGAACGCTGGAAGGCCCTTCGGAGATTCTCCTTGGCCACCATGAGGGACTTTGGGATGGGAAAGAGGAGCGTGGAGGAGAGGATTCAGGATGAGGCTCAGTGTCTGGTGGAGGAGCTGCGGAAATCCCAGGGTACCTTTTGTGGGGTGGGGTAGGTTGGAAACAATGAAAAACATGCAGACAGAGGGGCAAGGTGCACAGCAACAGAAACTCAGAGAGGTACACAAAGGGCAGAGAAGGGTAGAAATAGAGACAGACAGAGCACTAGAGACGGAGAGAGATGGAGTAGATATGAACTGAGACAAGGAGCAGAGCAATACAGGTAGCCAGGGAAGGAACCGTGAAGTTTACAATGTCCAAAAAACTCAGAGAAAGAGGCTGAGTAACTGCATGCTATTCATTTGGGTCCAGATAAATCAATTTGTAGGTTAAATGTACGTGTCAAAAGAAAAAACAAGCCTCATATAAAAGATAGCAAAGGAGAAAGAAGGAATAGCAGAATTGGTGAAAATAGTGAACTCTGTTTGCCTTCCCTCAGTGAAGTGCTGATGAGCAGGCAGTGAGGAAAGAGGCAGGTGGGTGCTCTGCTCTTGGGAGGGATTTTCAGTCCCTTTTGGATCCTCTGAGACAGGGATGTAGAGGTGACAGCACTGCTTGTTAGCACCTCCTCGGTCAGCATCCTTCCATTCATGCCAGGTCTTCATTGCATGTGGAGAGTTTGAAGCTGGGGAGAAGCAGTGGGGACAGAGAGGGAGAGAAGAATAATGGGGAAGCAGAGTGACATGGAGACAGATATGAGGAAAGAGGGAAGGAAGGCCATGGATGGAGCAAACAGAAGACAAAGAAAGACAAGACAGCGGAAGACACCCACAGTGGCAGAAAAAAAATAAAGACAGAGACAAACTGAGACAGAAAATTAGAGCGACAGAAGAACAAGTCTCATGAAAAGTTGTGCAAGAAAGGACAGTAATGGCTGGGGATTTAGCTCAGTGGTTCGGTGGTCTGCCTTGCAAGCGCAAGGATCTGAGTTTGATCCCTGGTACAAAAAAAAAAAAAAGAAAGGACAGTAAGATAGGTGAGAGAGAAAGAGAGAGAGAGTTACATGAGAGCAGAGAGAGAGAGAGAGAGAAAGAGAGAGTGAGCTACCTGATATTCTTGAGCTCAGAGACTCCCTCCTTTTCAGGCAAGCCCTGGAGGATGGAGAAGAGGTGAAGGGGGAGTAACCAGAATGAAGTAGTGATCAGGCTTTTAAAGTGTGTACAAGCAATTGATTGGATACTGTTGCATGCCCTCTGTCCCGGGGCTTAACTTTGTTCTCTTACAGAGTGGGAGTTGAGCCCAGGGTGAGATGCAGGGTAGGGACCATCAGCCCTGCCTCTGTCTCTGGGATGCCTGGTCAGAATCCTGGCCCCAGTGATGAGTAGCTATGTTATCTTGGTCAAGTCATTTAACCATTAATCATTAATCCATCTATAAAGTGGGGCAAAGATAGAATTTTATCTTCCTTAGAATGTTGTGGAGGAAATTAAGTTAAAAAAACACATGAAGTACATAGAATAGAGCCTGTCACATAGTACAGGCCATTGAGTGTCAGTGTTTATTGCTATTTTTCTCTTCTATTTCTGAGCGATGGCAGTCACCAAGACAGGACAGCTGCCAAATGCTCCCCATGCTCTAGAGTCTGTGTCCTGTGAACTGCTGCCTTTCCCCCCAGGAGGCCTCATCGACCCCTTGTTCCTCTTCCAATCTATCACTGCCAACATCATCTGCTCCATTGTCTTTGGAAAACGCTTTGACTACAAAGATCGCCAGTTCCTGAGGCTTCTGGACCTGTTCTATAGGACCTTTTCACTCATGAGCTCCTTCTCCAGCCAGGTCAGGAGAGAGAGCAAGAGGACAGGGCTGAAGGCAGCAGCCATGGCAAGCGGGGTGGGGGGAGATGATGGCCTACTTTGGGGAGCCAATAAATGCACTTAGGGCTGAAAAAAAGGGTGGAGACAGCACAGAGTGACAGAAATATAGAATTGAAGTGTGGGACAGACAGTGAACAGGGACCAGGAACCAGAGTAAAGCAAAGGGGAGTGAAGTGAGTGCAGAAATGAAGTGAGACAGACAAAGAAAATTAAGTCTTGGGGAAGAGAGAAGGGAGCAAAGGACAGAGAAAAGCAAATAAAGAATAGAGATGGATTCTGGGAGACAAATTTTGTGTGCATGTGAGAGTGTGTGCCTGCACATGCATATGTTTGTGGTCTGTATGAAAGAGCAGGAGAGAGGTAGACTCAGAGGATAGAAAGAATGAGGGAAAGTGATAACCTGTGTAGGTTTTGGGCCCAGGACAGCTTCCCAGCTCTCTCATCTGTTGAGTCACAGGAGAGCCTAATTGCCCCTTCTTTCTCACAGGTGTTTGAGCTCTACTCCAGCATCCTGAAACACTTTCCTGGCACACACAGGGAAATTTACAAAAATTTGCAGGAAATCAACACTTTCATTGGCCACAGTGTGGAGAAACACCGTGAAACCCTAGACCCCAGCACCCCCAGAGACTTCATTGATAGCTACCTGCTCCGTATGGAGAAAGTGAGATCTGGGAGAGGTGATGGGATTTAATGGAACTGATGATAGCTGACGTGGGATAAGAAGGAGGAACTGAAATGAGGAGGGAAAGAGAACAGAGGCAAGGGCTAGTGGAGGAAGAGTCAGGGTGAAAGACCAAAGAGTAATAGGAGAAAGACCCACAGAGGCAGAAGGAGAATGGTGAGACTGAAAGTGAGAGACAAGCAAAGAGATGAAGAGGTGGGAACAGAGGCACATGGGATAAAGAAACCCCGAGGGTGGGAAACAGCGGGGTATGGGAAGAAAGAGAGATATGGTTGCCAAGGATAGAGATGTGCAAAGCGGCCAGATAGGTGAGTCCCAGGAACAGAGGGAGGGTGCTCAGAGGGACAGATGACCCTTACTGCACAAGGCTTTGATCTCCCCTGACCCTCACCTCTCTCCTTGCTCTGAACCTAGGACAAGTCTGACCCGCACACTGAGTTCCACCACAAGAACCTCATCCTGACCTCGCTTTCACTCTTCTTTGCTGGCACAGAGACCACCAGCACAACTCTCCGCTATGGCTTCCTGTTTTTGCTCAAATACCCCCATGTCACAGGTTGGTGAGGGACAGGCAGTTGGGAAGGTCTTGTGCCCCATTTTGGGCTGCAGAGGTGGGATGTAGGGCTCTCCTGGACTAGAAATAACATGGCCACTTAGGCCAGAAACTCTATAGGCTTTGGACTCATGTAGGGAGTGGAGAATGGGACATTATCAGGATCTCTACCATGGATCCTGGCCTGTGTCCCCCACAGCACAAGGTGAATGAAGAAGAGACACAAATGAGACTGAGAGTGTAGAAGCTGAATCTTGGGTCCTGGCCAGTGCTGCTCATGGCAGCAAAGACAAAGGCCCCTAATAATCCTGTATTTATTGAATACAATTGTGTGAAGGAAAAGGGAGCTAGTGAGCTTTGAAGGCTTGTGAATTACTGCTGAACACCTGGCATGGTGATGCCAGGCATGTCTGTCAGGATGTAGGTACTGCTTATCTTGCTAGCATAGAAGAAAAAGGTACTGGGACCAGGTGCAATGAGCAAGCAATCCACAAGGTCAGTGAGAAAAAATAATTCAGGGAAAGGATTATAGGTGGGGTCATGCTGAACTCAGCTCCATGTAACTCAGCAGGGCCCTGCCACTTCACTGAGCAAGACTTAGGACTCAGTGACAGACATTAGGAGCAATATTAGCCCAACTCTGCTAGGTGACATGCCCATTTGAGTCATGCAGGCCTTTGTTCTGACTCTGACATTAAACAATAGAGCCAAATTATGGAAGGCAAGAAGCATGTGCCACTCACAGCCCACTAGTACCGGGCAGGGAGTTCTCCAATAATGCATCACTCCTTCATTTATTCAGTTAATAACTCATTTATACATGTCTGATTTGTCAGTCAAGCTTTCCATCCATTCATTTATTTACTCATACCTTCACCACTTTATTCACTCACACATTCAGCTATACATCTCGCACTCAGGTAATTATCAATTAGTGGAGTTTATTGATTTGTTTATGAACCATTTCTTAGTAGGTTTATTGATCCTTTTATGATTGATATATTGAATACATACATTCACTTTTTTGTTCATCTCATCCATTCATCAATTTTTCATTTATTGATTTAGCATTGATTGATTGATTGATGGACACATTTTATCATCCAGTTTTTCATGGATTTATTAATTGATGCATTCTCTTGTTATAGTTTTTAGGACCTAGCATAACCCACTTGCATACATAATAAATATTAGTTCATTTCTTTTTCATTTTAGAGTAGGAGTTTTGGAGTTAATGGAAAATTCCATTCAAAATCGTTTATCTATTTCTCTGTGTGTGTTGCTGTAGATGTGGGGAGATAATTTATAATATATATTGGATTTTAAAGGGTGAGCATTCCTGTTGATATTTTCCTTTTCTCAGACACAGCTGATTCCTTCAAGAGTATAAATGGTCTAGTGCCTTTCTGTAGAGTGTTTTGGTCTCATAT